AAGTGGAACATGTTACACATTCACTCAAATGTGATTGCACTCAGGTCTATCATCTTAATAGCAACTCAACCATGAAACAAATATTTAATCCCCAGTCTCACTATAAAGTATAAAGAATGTCTGCTGTTCTAAACTATGTTGTTAAAAAATGGCAATAATCTATACTTATATAATAAGAATTAACCTTTTTCAAAATTAGTAGGTCAATTCTTAGTCAACATCCTGTCTGCATTAAATGTTTACTAAAATTAGTAACTTTTATGTCCTTTTCACACTTTTTTTTATGTCCTTTTCACACTAGATTATATAAATGAACGGATATTATCTCACCTTTCATTAATCTCACTTATAATTCATGTGAATTGATTGATTGCCTTTAACTTTTCAAAACGTGTGCTATCCATTGTTTATTACTATTATTATTATAGTATGCACGTAATCAGTTGATTAAATAAATTATATATTATTATTATTATACTCACCACGTAACAGTTAATTAAAATATATCTATACTTATATTAAAAGGTATACCATTTACCAGATTTAATATAAAGAAAAGTCAACAACATTTATTGCATTACTATTTCCGTATTATACAATCTATACTTATATAAAAAGAGATTCTATTTACTATATTTACTATCCAGAAAAGTCAACTGCATTAAATGTCATTACTATTTTGGTATTATAATATTTTATTTATTTAATTGTTTTATTTATTTGTTTTATTTTAAAAAGGTAAGTATAATAAAAAGATTTTAATAATAAAAAAATCAAATACCAAATAAAAATGTACACTTTGACTTATTTGATTATATTTGGTATTTGATTATACCAAATATATTCCTATTTAGTATATACATTAAATACTTACTAAAGTATTTGTTTGTTTTATTTGTCAAAGTTAAGTATAGATTTGTTTATATTATCAAATCATAAAAAAATATTAAATCCATATTGTAAAAAAAAAAAACATATAATTTTATAACAATTCTACTACACTATTTAACAATATTTTTTTTATTATATAATAAAATAATAATTAAATATTATATGGTGAACAACAATAAGTAAAACTGTTACTTTCTCTTATATCAAGGGATAAATTTATATGCTAAAATTAAATTTTTATTAGTATAAATGTTTTAGTGAGATAATATATTAATTATTTTACAAGCTAGCCCTAACATGCTCATATTTAATGTTTTAAAAGATGTAGAAAAAAAAATTATAATAACTCTATTGTTTTTTAGACTTAAACGTTGATTAAAAGAGGTAAAAATTCCTAATTTTTTAGACTTAAACGTTGATTAACACCATAGATTGAGAGTTTATATTTAGTAAAATTCCTAATTGTAATAAAAAAATTAATTTTTGCTATATTTTAGAATATCTTTAAATTCATTATAAAAAAAAAAAAACTACAATGAAAAAAGCAAGTCAGCTATATATCGATTTGTTGTACTCCTCAAATCACATTCACAATTTGGCTACAAGGAAAGGAAACTCATTGATTAAAATATTATTTTGTCAGTAGTCTTAATGTACAAGAGACTTTAAGACTCCACTTGAATATTATACAACTTTTATGGAACATTGTATAATTTTCTTGCGTATTATAAACTTTTATTGAATATTGCATCTTATAATATAATATTCTCTAAATAAATATATCTCGTGCTTTGCACGGGTCACGTACTATATATATTCCGTACATCTTTCTTTATTCATGTATATAATTATAAGCCTGGATAAATAGCCTTAAAAATGTACATCCCGTGCATCGCACGGGCTCTGTACTAGTAAAAGTGAAAGAGAGGTGCAAATAATAAATACCAAATACTATGATGTTCTAAATGGTAAGGTTGCTATTGGTTATATGCATAGTTTTATTCACAAATGACATGCTTTAAAAATAACATAAATAAAAGTATGACATGACATATAAATGGTAAGGTTGCTATTGGTTATATGCATAGTTTTATTCACAAATGACATGCTTTAAAAATAACATAAATAAAAGTATGACATGACATATAAGTATGTATTATTATTTAAAAAATACAAATGACTTGTCTAACTATTAGGCTGCTTACCGAAAAAAAATTGTGTGTTATAAAATATAAACTATGTTATTCATAAAGGCCACGTCTAAACCGTTATGTTGCCTCACTAAAAAATTTGTGTGTTCTAAACTATGTTATTCGTAATGGTCATTAAATGTACAGGAGATGTGCCAACACCTTCATAAAGGTCATTAAATGTGCAGAAGATGTGCAAATGCTATATCTCTCCAATACATATAAGGAATTAGCATAGGGTCTCTTTGGCTGACACGTGTCATTTGTTGACCCAATAATGCCTTAGTTTTAACCGGTAATTACGAGACTGCCACTTGACTTTATGCATAGTGGGATTAAGCACAGAGGGTGTACGCCATATCTTTTTTGGTCCTTTCCGACACTGTTTGCTAGATTCACACGCAACATATCTCTGATAAGATTTTTTTGGCTTACGATGGCTCTTTCATTTCTCTCTACATTTTTCTCTCCTCCTTTCTTTTCCCAGCCAAAAATAGAATTTTGTCATTTTTCAACTCCTGAGACATAGTTTTCGCAGGGAGTCTCGAGGAGTCGCGGCGTGTACGCGAAGATTCAAAAGCTCGGGATGAGATCGAGAAAGTCGACGCTTAAAATGAGAGCTACATCTGTGCTTGCTTTTCCTTCCTGATGGTAAGATCCTTGCACTTTTACTATTTATGTTATAATTTTTCCATCTCTCCCTCAATCTATTTGTACGTTTTAGGGTTTTAAAAATCGGGCCTTTTGATTTCGGGGGTGCTATTTTTTATGTTNCGGATTCAAAACCCTCGATATTGCACACTCTTCCTCTATGCGTTGTGCGAAGGTAAGTCTTCTTTGAACTTATAATGTTCGTTTGCTTTTCAGACGTAAGTTCTTCCTTTTCTTTTTTCCTTTTAATTTGCAATTTCCCTGTTTTTATTGTTTTTCCACTTTCCAAATTAGTTTGAAAATTCTGAATTTCAGGAAGTTAGGATTTCGATTATACATAACTGGAGCTTCGACTGCCGCATTCCGTATGAATACCAGTTTGTCAACCATTTGTGGTGTTCAACAGTGATTTTAGTTTTGCAGGTATTCGATCAGAATAGATTTTTTTTTCCTACGGGAAGCTCCTGATTGTTAGGTAAAACACAATGTTTTACGGTTTTCATGATTTACTATTTGAAATATTTGGAATAATTGTGTATGTTAATCATAGTTCTACTATTTTCTCTAAAAGAGAAGGTTCAGATTGAACATATTGAATACGGAACCAATAAATTCTCTTAAATGATACTCATACAGGTTGGGAAAAAAAGGACTGAAAGCTTTAAAATTGGATTGAAATTATAGGAATTGAGCCTCCAGCTTGTCTGCCTGCATAATTATTTATCAAACTTAGACCATTGTCAAGCACCGGAAGCCTGTATTTCAGCAGCGTGCAGTCCCATGGCTGTGGCAACATTTTTAGGTAACACAGGCTGTACTTCTTCAAAACATACACTAAATATTTATTTTGCATCAATACTCGGAAGATAAACTGTACACTTATTGGTTTGTTTGCTCCAATATGAATTTCTAGGAGCATCAGCTCTTTCCTGGAATTGAAGCAGACACAGTCACTAAAATTTTCAGTAAAGCCAATTAGTGATTCTCATCCAGCATGGCCTACTTGACCATAAAGATAGAGACATTAGAATCCATGTTGCCATCTGTCTCTTGCGAAATTTTAAGGGTGCTGCCACCGAATCCTGATTTTAGCCCTGCAGTTTTTAGGGTGAGATTCTTACATATGATTATTTAAGTTACAAGCTGATGGATTTTATTTGTTGTACCCCATTCTTTTTGGACATTTGTAGTCTGTTACTTCTGTCCTTTCTTTCTACAGCATATCATTTAGATTTCTTATAAGCATATTTGAGGAGCCTGATGACGTTGTCAGTCCGTATTTTTGGGGAGGGCAAATTATTGGAGACTGTTGCTAAACTACAGTTTTTTCAGGTAATGCTATACTGGATGTGAGAATTTGGTTCTGAAAATGTTCAAAAGCTTCTTCAATGTTATGAGGTTTGTCTTTTATATACAACATTTCATCTGTCTATTTGGGTCTTGTTATTTATGCATATCTTATTTCATGCTTATTTACTAATCATTCCATATATAACTCATTGTGGCCCTTTCCGTTTTGTGTTTGTGGTGGACTTGTTGGGACCTTTTGCTCTTTAATAAAATTGGGTTCTTTTTATTTTTTTTCGCTTTGTTTGACAAAGGGTAAAGAAATACGAGTCACAAGGAAGAAGGGTGAAGGAATATAAGGGGGAAAAAGATTTATGGCCCATTCATTTTCTTTTGGGTTGTTTCAGTATTGATAACAAGGTATGAGCTTGGACTTTCAGTGTAGTGATTGTCTGTTTTCTGATTAATTTTCTTGGGTTTTATTTATTTATTATTTTTTTTTAACTTGTTGGTTGTGTGTTGTTTCATGCTCCTTGGTCTCATATTCTCTTTTTATCAGGCTATTTATGTATTTATTGATTGATTATGTGGGTGAGTTTGTGATTGTGATAAAGGTATTTGCTTTGAGCTTGAGGCTCTTTGTTTCTTGAGGTAAATTAACTTTTGTGGGCATGGTTGTATGTT